CCCCTGAGATTATTTCCCCCTCATTTTACTTCACCCTGTTTTTTCCCCTCAGCTCATTTCCCCCCCATTTTCCCCTCAGATTATTTCCCCTCAGATTACTTCACCCTGTTTTTTCCCCTCAGCTCATTTCCCCCCCATTTTCCCCTCGCGCTCGACACAAGGAGGTCTCTGCATCACTCAGATCCCAGATGCATCAGGCCTGGTACTAAAATTAGCTCATTTCTGGGAAATTGCTTATTTTGCCATTCCTCCAGAAAAAAAAAAAAAAAAAAATATATATATATAAAAATCCCATCTTGACACATGACTAAGAGAAGGAATTTTCAGGCTGAACTCATTCAGTGATTGTGTTTTATTTAAAGAACACAGGAGCGGCTCTGCAGATGGGAATCAAAAAATCTCCTTAGCTAAGTAACTGTCCTCATGAAATGGCCCTGCCTGTGTTTTTGCCCTCATAAACTAATTTATTTTTTACTTTATCTTTTACTATTTATTTAAATATTTATTTATTTATACCATAAGTATTATTTATTTATTTATTTCCTTTATCTGAGATTTTAGATGGACACACACAGAGGACTTCCTCAAGGGAAAAAAGAACTTTTTTCCATCTGATGGTTCTGGGCAGCATCCACCTGATCCCAGAGCCACAGGAGCTCCTGTGACACTCCAAACTCCCAATTTTCTGCCTCTCTTCCCTGCTTTTCCTTTTTCCCCAGATTTATTTCACCTCTGAGGGGTCTGTTTGAGGTGGGCTCAGAGCCAGGAGGAAGAGCGTAAAATAAAAATAAAATAAAGGCAGACAGGACAATATTTTCCCCATTAATAAAGCTGTTATTTATAATGTATAAATATATATTATTGTATAATATACATTATAAATAACAGTATATACATATTTTTAAGCATTTCTAGGAATATTCACCCCAGAGCAGCCAAATCTGTGATTCTCCTATTTCCACCGAGCGAGGAAATAACACCTCGGGAATTCTCCAGCTTCCTAAAATTTTGGGGTTTTTTGGTTTTTTTAAAAAATTTTTTTTCCTCCAATCCAAAGTTCTGCTTGCCAAATGTGATTCATGGATCCTCCCAAGCATTTCCCCCCCCAGAGCAGCCTCATCCCTCTCCGGGGTGGAGCCGAGCGTTCATGGCGTTCTGCGGGATGAGGTGTCCGCTCCGCTGACAATTCCATTATTCCCGCTGAGTCCTTGATTTATCCTGCCCGTTTTTCTAATTATTTTCTCCAACCACCTGCCTGGTGAGGCTCTGCTGGGCTCTGCCTGGTTTTGGGAGAGTTTTTTTTGTTTGTGGTCATTGAGGTTTTCTGGAGAGCGTTCCTTGCTGCCCTGTGGCGTTTTCCCTGTGTGTGGAATGGGGTGGGAAAGACCTGGAGGAGGAAGGAAATCCTCCAAGGATATAAAAAGATCAAAAAGCAGGGGGAAGAGGGAAGAAAAAGCACAGTGGAAGTGGGACACGGGATCGGAGTGAGAAACAGAACCGGAATTTTGCAGTGGAGGCAGGGAAAAAGCACTTTCTGTGAAATACCGTGGAATTGGGAGAATCCCAGAATTATTTGGGTTGGAAGAGACCTTAAAGCTCATTCCATTCCTATGGGCAGGGACACTCTGCACAATCCCAGCTTGCTCCAAGCCCTGTCCAACCTGGCCTGGAACACTTCCAGGGATGGAATCCACAGGGATGAAACCCACAGGGATGAAACCCACAGGGATAAAATCGACGACTGCTCAGTGCAAAAATAATTAAAATAAAAAACACAGCCAACACACATCCGCCCTTACCTATCACAATATTTTGAATTATTATGAATAAAACCAGCTGCTGCTCGCACGCAGAGCTGGGAGAAGCCTGCCAGGGTGGCTGCTGGGAGCTGGGAGCAGCAGGAGAAGCTGCTGGGGAATCGATAGGTCGGCAGGGACGGAGGGGACGTTCCTCCCGGAGCTGTAATTACCTGCCCGGCTTGAAGAAGCACCCGGCGTTTTTCTGGCCAAGGTCAGCACCATCAGCAGTTATTCCCCTCCCAGGAGAAGCCCCTGGATTTATTGTTGTTGTTTCAACTGGTGCTGAAGGTGCTCAGAACTTCTAAAGTCAAGCGGGGTCCTTTGTGTCCGACCTTCTGCCGAGCTGGGGAGTGGCTGGGGGGGAGGAGGGCTCGCAAAAAATGGAATTATTTTGTCCAAAGTTAATCAGAACGACCTCAAAAATCAAAGGTTTGCGAAGATCCCTGGAAAGCCATGGGTTTGTTGTCCCAAAAAGAGAAAGAATTGGATTGAGCTGGGGGTGTTCATGTGGAGAAGGGAAGATCCAGGGAGAGCTCAGAGCCTTTTCCAGAGCCTAAAGGGGCTTCAGGAGAGCTGGAGAGGGACTGGGGACGAGGGATGGAGGGACAGGACACAGGGAATGGCTTCCCACTGGGAAACGGGAGATTTAGCTGGAGAGGGACTGGGGACGAGGGATGGAGGGACAGGACACAGGGAATGGCTTCCACTGGGAAAGAGGAGATTTGGGGTGGGATCTTCAGAAAGAATTCCTGGCTGGGAGGGTGGAGAGAGGCTGGGATGGAATTCCCAGAGAATTCCTGGGAGTGTCCAAGGAAAGGTTGGAGCAGTTTGGTTGGGATGGTGGGATTGGAATAGGATGGGATTGAAACTCCATGGATCCCATCCCAACCATTCCAGGATTCTGGGATCCAGGACACTCAGGATCCATCCCCAGGGATTTTTATGGAATTCCAGGATGGAAAAGGGAAGGGAGACCCTTCCTGGAGTCTCAAAATTCCCAGTGAAGCCCCTGGATCCCAAAATTCCTTCCCAGCGAGGAGTCAGGATGGGGATGGATCCAATGCCAGGCTGGGAGAGCTGGGAATGGAGGGAATTCCCTGGGAAAGGGGAGGAATTTGGGAAGGAATTCCTACCTGGGCTGGAATTCCCAAAGAATCCCTGGGAGTGTCCAAGGAAAAGTTGGAGGTCCCTGGGATTGTGGGAAGCATCCCTGGGATGGGACTGAAGGTCCATGAATCCCAACCCAAACCATTCCAAGATTTTGGGATTTTAAGGAGATGCCTTCACTTGGTTCCCCGTTATTTTTATGCAGAAGAAGAAATGTTTAAAAATTCACCAGCCTGGACTGACATTTACACAGCATTACACGTAAAGAGTTTTTGAGTTTTTGGAGTTTCATCAACTCAAAAGGAGAATATAAAATTTTAAGGCAGGAAACAGAGACTGAATCCTTGGGAATGAAGGAATTTTAGGAATTTATCTGGATATTTTTGTTATGTTCACCAGGGCTCTGGGAAACAAATCAATAAATTTGATTTGGTATTTTATTCTCTGGATTTACTTTAAAAAATGAATTATGAAGCATTTAAATGAGGACAAGAAAGGGGTAAATGGCCTTTTTTCCTTCTGTTCCTTTTCTATCCTCAACTCTTCTCCCCACCTTTATTTTAATTCCTCCTCTCCCAATTCCAGCCTCATCCTCGTCTCCCAAATCCAAAAACTTCACCTCCTGCCTCCCCAGTTTCTGGGGAAATTGTCATTAATGCAAGGATGGAAGCCAGGATGGCACCACCCTTCCCCTCAGAGCCCAGAAATTCAACCTTCCCAAGAGATTCCCAAATTTCCTGCAGTGAATCAGGAGCAATTCCAGGAGCAGAAATCCTTTAACCACTCATCACCAATAAGCAGCAAAGGATAATTATTAATAAATTAATTACAAAAAAAGCGAAGTAATTCCTCCCTCCTGAGTTTTCCACCCCAGATTTTGGTCTCCTCTTTGTTTGAACCTGCCCAGGGTTGGGTCTTTCCATTTTTTTTTGGTCATTATTCCCATTTTTCCACCACAAATTCCAGCCCAATCCCACAGAACTCCAACTGCAATTCCATGAGATGTTGAGCGAAGAAGGATTCAACGTTTTGCTGGGTTCTGCATCAAAAGAATTCCATGAAAATTCCTTGTCATGTCCACACTCTACTTCCCAGAGGACGGTAAAAAAATCATCCAGGAGCAGGATTATGAATATAAATAATATAAATAATAAATAATTACTGGAGTAGGAATTTGGAATTTTGTGCTCATCACTTCCAGTCTCTCACCTTGGCCAAAGAACCAAGACATTTTATTCAGGAAAAACTCAAGGAATTCTGCATAAAATCTCTCAAAAAAGGTTCCTACCCCAGGTTTCAGGATTCCCTTCCTGCCCTGTACAGCTGCATTTTCCAGGGTGGTTTTTTTTTTTTCCCAGAAGTGCTTTTTTTGCTTTCTGCCTGTATTTCTAATCAATATCTTTCATTACACTGATATTTTTTAGTTCCAGACAGCACCCAGCCCAACCTTCCCCTGGGATTCCTCCATCACGACTCCAATTTCTGCACTATTTAAAAAAAAAAAAAAAAAACCAAAAAAACCACCCAATTCTGACTCAGAAAAAAAAAACCAAACTACACAACCTGAAAATCTACCAAAGTGGTTAAATCATTGCACTGCTCACCATTTGCTCTTTATTCCTCTCATTCCAATTTTCCCCAGGAATAATTTTATATTTCCTTCTACATCACTGACAAAGAAATTGAACAGCGCCGAGCCAAAATGCTTTATAACACACACACGCTCTAATTTTGCAATTAATTTGCAATTAATTACCTTCCAGAGAGGATCTTTTTATCTTGGAATTGTGTCCTACTCTAAATCCAAGAGGGAAAACCACCTTGGAAAAAAGCAGGAGCCTCAGTAAATACGGGAAGAGCTGTTTTCCACAGGGACCCCAGTGACTCAGGCTTGCATGAGACAGGGATATAATTTTCTGGATGAAGTAGTTCAACAAATCTCTTTCTTTTTTTTTCACCTTTTTTTTTTAAAAAAAAAGATTTTTAAATTGTTTGCCTTTTAGAAACAAATCTGGTAACCGAGCAGGAAGTTTTCCATGGGGAAAAAAGTGAGAATTGATTTTTTTTTGTTTTTTTTTTTAAAGGAATACTCACAAAAAACTGGTCCATGTCCCTGTCCAGCCCCATGTTGGGCAGGTCTGGCATCATGTGTGCCACCACCTTGAAGCCAGCGTCCTTGGCCAGGTGGAAGGACTCACACACAGCCTTCACCGTGTGACCCCTGGGTGGGGAGAGAGGGAAAAAGGGTCAGGAGAAGGCAGGAAAAGCAGGAAAAGCCATTCGTGTGCTCAGCTGGGATTATCCCCCTTGGGAGGCTGAGTTTGGGGCGTGGCTGGAGGTAAAAGTGAGCCTAAAAGGGGTTTGATGAGTATTGAAATTGTTAATTCTGCGGGAAAGGAGCAGCCCCAAGGTTCCAGACACAGAGAGAAATTTGGGAGAGCTGCTGGAATCCAGTCTGGAAATCCAGGTTGGTGTCCCTCAGGAAAAAAGGGGACTAAAAACATAAATACATAAAAACAACAAGAAAAACAGCAGGAAAGGAGAAGGGATGGGAATGAGGAAAAGCAGCCAAGCTGACAATCCCCCCAAAATCCCTTCTGGAGAAATGTGAACCTCCCCAGATTTTGGGATTTCAGGAGGGTTCCATGTTCTGCCACAGTGACACCAACCCAAACCCCGGATCTGCAGTAGCCCAGGGGGATTTGGAGCCCAAAAAAGACCAAATGTCCCACAGTTCTGGCAATTATCAGGCTTGAAATAAATAAATAAATAGAGATTGGTTTGTTTGGGGGGTGGGGTGAAGAAAATATCTCACATTTTCCTACAGAGCACAAAGGTTTTTTCGGTCAAAATGACAAGGAATGAATTATATTTCCTCCTGGAAATGTGGTTTTTTTTCCAATCCCTAAGGATTCTGTGTGCCTGGAATGACTTTGGGGAATTTCTCCTGGCCAGTGTCACCTCTCCTGTCCCAAAAAGGCACCTGGAAGAGGGAAAAAGGTGGAAAACACCCCAAAAATCACACCCCAAAAAGCGTTGTGAATTGGGATTTATATTTACAGGAGCTGCAGGGTTTCCCTGGGCCATGTGCTACCTCCCAAAATTCAATTTAGTGATGGTGCCATTAGGAAAAGAGGTGCTCAGCACAGGGAGAGAATGAGTAAATAAAAAAAATGAGGTGGACAATGCAGGGGAAGGAGGGAGACAATGAAATAAAGAGTGTGAAACACAGGCAGAGAATGAATAAATAAAAACAAAAAGAGGAGGATAATACAGGGGAAGAATGGAAACATTTAAAAATGGAAAAAATGAAAAATGAAAGAGTGAAACAGAGGGAAGAATGATACATCAAAAAAAAGTGCATAAAAGGGAAAGAAAAGATACATTAAAAAAAAAGGGAAAAAACAAACATATCAAAAAACCAATGTACAACAAAAGAAAAGGATCTGAGTCCCAACTAAAACATCACAATTCCATTTTTTCCTGCTGAGGAATGCAATCCACAAAATTCCATTTTTGCCTACGAAAGGGCACGAAGGAGGCTGGGAAGCTGCTGGGGTTAATTCATTTTGACAGGGAAATAAATGAAATGTTCCAATATTCTCTGAGCAGTGGGAATTAGCCAAGGAAACCGGAGCTGAAGGGTTCCAGAAGGATCCAGGGAATCCTTGGAGCCCCTTCCTGAGCCTCAAGGGGCTCCAGGAGAGCTGGAATTTGGGAAAAGGATGGAGGGCCAGGAGCCAGGGAATGGATTCCCCTGGGAAAGGGGAGCTTGGGGTGGGATTTGGGAAGGAATTCCAGGCTGGGATAGAATTCCTACAGATCCTTGGAGCTCTGGGAGTGTCCCAGGGTGGATTTGGATCACCCTGGGATGGTGGGAAGTGTCCCTGGGATGGGAATGAAGGTCCATGGATCCCTTCCCAAACCACTCCAGGATTCTGGGATCCAGGACACTCAGGATCCATCCCCAGGGATTTTTATGGAATTTTTGGGGATGGAAAAGGGAAGGGTGATCCTTCCTGGAGTCCCCACTTCCCAGGGAATTCCTGAAATTCCTTCCCAGGGAGGAGCTGTGGTGGGGATGGATCCAGTGCCAGGCTGGGAGAGCTGGGAATGCCCAATGGAGAAGGGAAGGATCCAGGGAATCCTTGGAGCTTTTTCCAGAGGGAAGATCAACCTGTGAGATGGAAGGGCTGGGATGGAGGTCCATCCCAGACAGGGCAACTGGGACTCCCTGGGATGGTGTCCCTGACCTGCTGGGATTCCCTGGGATGGTGTCCCTGACCTGGGATCGTGTCCTTGACCTGTTGGGATTCCCTGGAATGGTGTCCTTGGCCAGCCAGGATGGCGTCCCTGACCTGGAATGGTGTCCCTGAACTGGAATGGTGTCCCTGGCCAGCTGGAATGGTGCTCCTGAGCTGTTGGTGTCCCTGGAATGGTGTCCCTGACCTGGAATGATGTCCCTGAACTGGAATGGTGTCCCTGGCCAGCCAGGATGGTGTCCCTGACCTGCTGGTGTCCCAGGCCAGCTGGGATGGAGTCCCTGGGATGGTGTCCCTGACCTGTAGGTGTCCCTGGAATGATGTCCCTGGCCAGCCAGGATGGAGTCCCTGACCTGTTGGTGTCCCTGGAATGATGTCCCTGACCCGGGGTGGTGTCCCTGAGCTGCTGATGTCCCTGGAATGATGTCCCTGAGCCGCTTGGTGTCCCTGAGCTGCTGGTGTCCCTGGGATGGTGTCCCTGACCCGGGGCCGTGTCCCTGGAATGATGTTCCTGACCTGGGGTGCTGTCCCTGAGCTGTTGGTGTCCCTGGGACGGTGTCCCTGACCTGTTGGTGTCCCTGAGCTGTTGGTGTCCCTGAGCTGTTGGTGTCCCTGATCCGGGGTGGTGTCCCTGAGCTGTTGGTGTCCCTGGGATGATGTCCCTCTGAGCTGTTGGTGTCCCTGGGACGGTGTCCCCGACCTGTTGGTGTCCCTGAGCTGTTGGTGTCCCTGATCCGGGGTGGTGTCCCTGAGCTGTTGGTGTCCCTGGGATGATGTCCCTGACCCAGGGTGGTGTCCCTGACCTGTTGGTGTCCCTGGCCAGATGGGATGGTGTCCCTGAGCTGTAGGTGTCCCTGGAATGATGTCCCTGACCCGGGGTGGTGTCCCTGAGCTGTTGGTGTCCCTGGGACGGTGTCCCTGACCTGTTGGTGTCCCTGGCCACGTCCTCGTAGACGCTCTGCACGCCGATCTCCAGGCGGGTGCAGCCGTAGGCCAGCATGGCGCTGAGGTGGGGCCGCAGGCAATAGTCCGGCCGCGTCTCGATGGTGATCCCCACGCACTTGGTCAGGCTCCTCTCCGAGTACCTGCAGGGAAAATCACATTTCTGCTCAAACACACCACTTCCGGGCTTTAAGTGAACTGGGGAAGGGTTTCTGGCATCTTCCAGGTGAGGGTTTTTAAGGATGAAAGGTTAAAATTTAACCTTTACTCCTCTCCTGCATGGAAAAGTCCCATTTCTGGTTAAAATCCACCAGTTTTGGGTTTTAAGTGAACTGGGGAAGGGTTTCTGGCATCTTCCAGGTGAGGGTTTTTAAGGCGGGTGCAGCCGTAGGCCAGCATGGCGCTGAGGTGGGGCCGCAGGCAATAGTCCGGCCGCGTCTCGATGGTGATCCCCACGCACTTGGTCAGGCTCCTCTCCGAGTACCTGCAGGGAAAATCACATTTCTGCTCAAACACACCACTTCCGGGCTTTAAGTGAACTGGGGAAGGGTTTCTGGCACCTTCCAGGTGAGGGTTTTTAAGGATTAAAGGGTAAAATTTAACATTTATTCCTCTCTGAGTACCTGCATGGAAAAATCCCATCTTTGGGTAAAGTCTACCAGTTTTGGGTTTTAAGTGAACTTGGGGAGATTTTCTGGCATCCTTTTAAGGGTTAAAGGTTAAATTTTAACATTTACTCCTCTTCTGCAGGGAAAAATCCCATCCTTGGGTAAAACCCACCAGTTTTGGGTTTTAAGTGAACTGGGGAAGGGTTTCTGGCATCTTCCAGGTGAGGGTTTTTAAGGATGAAAGGTTAAAATTTAACCTTTACTCCTCTCCTGCATGGAAAAGTCCCATTTCTGGTTAAAACCCACCAGTTTTGGGTTTTAAGTGAACTGGGGAAGGGTTTCTGGCATCTTCCAGGTGAGGGTTTTTAAGGATTAAAGGTTAAATTTCCTGCGGTGTTTTGGCGATCCGCGGGTGAAACGATGCACAAAAATACACATTAATGCAATCTGGGTTGTGTTAATTAATTGGGGTTGTAATTAATACAGTCTGGGGGTTGTTTTGGGTCATGAAGAACTGTGGCAGCCTGGAGGGGATCCACAAGGATATCCATGAAAAATCCCACAAATCCCTTTGGGACTGAGCAGTTCCCAACCTCACTGAAGGAATCTGACAAAACCAAAATGTTTTCTGGACTTTTTTTCTCCTTTTGTGCCCTTTATCAGTGGAGGTCTAACGAAGACTAATTACTCCAGCTGGTAAAAAAACCCCACTCCTGATGACAAATGGGAAGTCACTGACCTGTGAGAGAGGGAAAAAAGGGAAAAAAAAGAACCCAAACTGAAATTCACAAAGAGAAATCATCGATCCCCACCATCACCAGCGAGGAGGAAATTCCTCTTCACGGGGGAATCAACTCCCTGCAGCTTTTTTCCTGAACTTTGAGGTGGTTTTGTACCAAAACCTCAGCCCAGGAGCACAAATTTACAGCAGGAAGAGGAGAAACTTCCTTTGGAACTGCAGAGAAACGCTGGCTAAGTCCCAAAGCAGGATATTGATGGGGATATCAGTCTCTTTAATGGCCCCAAATGATGATTTTTGGGTGTTAATAGGAAATGCTGCTGGAAAAGGGGACACCTTGAGGAAGAGAGGGATGTTATTCCCATACCTGCACACCCAAATTGAAAGGATGACTAAGTTCAGGTCTTTATTAGGAGTCTGGAAAGATTCATCATCACACTGCTGGAAATTTTTGAATGGAAATAAAGCTCTCAGAGCAGCACCAAACACAATTCCACCCCACTAAAAAAAAAAACCCCGATCAAAATCCTTCAAACTTCAAAAAAAAAACCAGCAAAAAAAAAATCCCCAAGTGGGTTCAGACTCATTAAAAAAATATGAACTCCCTTCAAACTGTTCAGATCTATATGAATACAGAGATATTTGGGGGACAAGCTGTCAAAAGAAGCGTTTTTTAAAAAAAAAAAACAACAATAAAAACTACGTGAAACATTTCCAAGTTTGTGGCTCACTAATCTGACAGCCCAAGAGCACCAATTGTTTATCACGTCAGGGAAAACATTGCCAAAGTGTGATTCATTAACAGCAGACTCCCAAACACCCACTTTGCAAGACGTGATTTGCAAAAATTAAGAGAGAGAGAGAGAAATTGGAGCGAAAGAGTTCAAAAAAAAAAAAAAAAAGTCTTTAGATAACTCGGGACAAAGGGTACCTGCTCCTATTAACACCAAAAATCAGGGTGGAAATACAGAGGGGAGATAAAAATAATTAAATCACCTTCGTTTCCAGAAGAAAGAAAGAGAAATTTGATTTTTTTTTTTTTTGGTGTTTTTTCTCCGCTCTTGAATTCAAAAGGTTCATTTGGATATTCAACATTTTCTCCTCTTTGCAAAAGGAAAATCTATTTCATTCAAAACCTGACACCAAAGGCAGGGATTTTATTGGCTTAGAAGCCAAACACAAGAAATATCAGAAGTGGACACGAATTAAAAGCTTTAGTGGATTTACATAACCTGCCATTTTCTGGAGGGAATTATCACAGAGTGAACCATAAAAGCTGAACTGGGTATTATTACCCAGCACAAAGCTGCATTATACAACTAAATTACATTTGGTATTTTATTAAAAATAATTTTAAAAAATCAATCTGACCCTGTTTTGTATTCAATTTCCACATTTTCCAGTGCTGGGGGTGAGCTGGGAAGGGCAGGAAACACTGGAGCAGGGGCATCTCCAAAATATGGATTTACACCAGGGATTGAAGGGGTTGTTTAAGCAAATTGTGAGGATCTCTCAGTTGAAAGCACAGACAGGGATTTTCCAGTCAGCAGAGGAAAAAAAAAATAGGAAAACTGGAATAACACCTTCATCAGTGGGAAAAAGCTTTTGAATCCCAAAATTCCAGAATGGTTTGGGTGGGAAGGGACCTCAAAGATCATTTCAGGCACCTTCCACCATTCCAGGTGGCTCCAAGCTGGCCTTGGACACTTCCAGGGATCAGGCAGCCACAAATTCCCTGAGAATTCCATTCCAGGACCTCCCCACCCTCACAGGGAGGAACTTTTTCCTAATTTTTTTTTAATAGGATTTTTGGGTGGGGATTTGGAGCTTTTTTGAAGGGATTTGGAGTTTTTTGTGATCACCAGGATACACTGGGATACTCCAGGAATTTCTTCCCGAATTCTTCCCCTTCTCCCAGGGAATTCCCTCCATTCCCAGCTCTCCCAGCCTGGCACTGGATCCATCCCCATCCCGACTCCTCTTCGGGAAGAAATTTTGGGATCCAGGGGCATCACTGGGAATTCTGGGATTCCAGGAAGGGTCTCCCTTCCTTTTTCCATCCTGGAATTCCATAAAAATCCCTGGGGATGGATCCTGAGTGTCCTGGATCCCAGAATCCTGGAATGATTTGGGATGGGATCCATGGAGCTTCAATCCCACCCCATTCCCACCCCACCATCCCAGGCTGCTCCAACCTTTCCTTGGGCACTCCCAAGGATTCTCTGGGAATTCCAACCCAGCCAGGAACTCCTTCTAAAGATCCCACCCAAATCTCCCCTTTCCCAGTGGGAAGCCATTCCCCACTTGTCCCTCTCCAGCTCTCTGCCAACAATCCAGCAAAATTCCCTCCAGGAATCTCCTACATTTTAGGTCGTGCTGCCATTGAGGAACCAGGGAGTCAGACCCAAGGAGTTCTGCCTCCTGTCCACTAATCACTCCCAAAATCCCAGGATGGCTTGGGTTGGAAGGGCCCTCAAAGCTCATCCTTTTCCGATCCCATATCCCTGTTCCCAAATTGGAATTCTTGCATCATTCCCACCCCTATTCTCAGCTTTTTGTGGCCTTCTGCTACCAAAAAAAGCCGCCCAGCTCCGCAGCCGCGCCGCAACCGCATCCAGCTGGGACATGATTTGCCTATTCCCATCCAATTTCCCACTATTTATGCAGTCAGGGGTAATTTGGCTGCTGAATCATACAGAAAGCTCATGATTCTGTGACTTCAACCCAAAATATTTTTTTTTTCCAGAGATTTCTGGTGCTGCTCAGAATAGAATCCTGCCCCGTTCCTAGAAAAACTGCTGGATGTTTTTTTCCGTCCTGTTGCGGTTTACCACGGGACGTGGATTTACAGGGATAAATCCCAGCTCTGGGATGGATGGCTGCTGCCAGCCCTGAGAAATGAGGATTTGAACACGATTTTAAACACAAGCCCAGGGGCACAAACAGCAGAATGCCATTAGAAACCGTCGGGGTCAGTGACAATCATTTTCCGCTTTGGAAATCCGTGGAATGGGTGAAACGTTGTGCTGGGCTCTTTTCTGGTGTCTGACATCTGCTCTGGGACAGATCCCCTGCAGGATTTCAGGGATATTCCGTGTTTGTGCCCATCCCTGGGAGCCCAGGAACAGGATCCAGGGGATTTATGGTGGTGGTGGACACGATGGATTTGCCAGCAAGGGATCTTTGAAAACAACAGAGCTCACACCACAGATCCTGCAGGAATTCTGTGGTGATGGAAGAGGGAATTGCCTCTTTCCAAGCAGGAAAATCTGGAAAGGGAACACAGGGAACTCCGAAGGGAGGGACTTCAGGATAGCCAGACACAGAAGGTCAAGACCTGATGAAGAATTACTGATTGAACTTGAGTGACCGGACAGAGAAAAGCCTGAGAGATTCGAGGGACCTGAGCTCAGAGCCCCACCCATGACCATGGAATTCCAGAATCCTGGAATGCTCTGGGTGGGATTCATGGATCTCAAATCCCATCCCATTCCAACCCAAACATCTCCCACAGTCCCAGGGTGCTCCAATCTTTCCTTGGACACTGCCAGGGATTCTCTGGGAATTCCAGCCCTGCCAGGAAGTCCCACCCCAAGCTCCCCTTTCCCTGCTATGTGGGGATTTTTCCCAAAATTTGGAGAGGAGCTTCTCCCTGTGCAAATCCCACTTCTCCCTCCTTGCTTCATCCCTGTGCTGGGAAAAGGTCAGGAAAGGAAGGATTTGGGGTGGGAATTCTTCCCTCCCCTCCTTCAGGGTCCTTCAAGCTCCTCCTATTCCAGCCCCTTCTGTGGACATGGAATTTTTCTGCTATTCCAAACTGCAGGGTCCAACTTGCTGGAAAAGCAATTCCTGCAGCCTGGGGTTCCATCTTCTCTGCTGCCTTCCCATCCCATGGAATCCTGGAATCCTGAAATCCCATCCCACCCTGGCTTGGGTGGGAAGAGACCTTCAATCCCATCCCATTCCAACACCAAGACCTGTTATCCCAGGGTGCTCCAGACTTTCCTTGGACACTGCCAGGGATCCAGGGATTTTCTGGCCAGGAATTCCTTCCCAAATCCCACCCCAAGCTCCCCTTTCCCAGGGGAATCCATTCCCTGGCTCCTGGCCCTCCATCCTTTTCCCAAATGCCAGCTC